CAGTGGCTTTCAACCACTCATTGCAAAGTGAAGTCAATGCGCCATTTTCAAATTTCTGAAAAAGTTATAGTATATTAGAAAAGGATAGCCCAAAATAAACATGCATCCAGGTTACAACAGTATTTGAACCCACTATCTCTACTCTTCAGTGCATTTTGTTGTTTCCCATCTAAAACAGCTGTGCTGTTTTTTTATTTTATTTCATTTATTCAGATGCATGTGCAGGCCTGCGTATTTAAGACAAAGCCTATGGGACCTGTCTAATTGAAGAAAGGATAGCATGAAGACACATCTAGGGTTTCTACAGGTTTCGAACCCGCTACCTACACACTTCAGAGCGTTTGAGGGCTTTCCGGGTATTGACATCTGATCCTTTTCTTACCCCTAGTCCTTTTGTCTGTATCGGAAAAAAAATTGAAATAAATAAATAAGTTTTCAGAGCATGCCAGCGCACAGCGACAAAAGAAAGTTTTGTTAATCTTTTAACTTGGTAACTGTTAGTCCTGTTTTGACACACAAGCAGCCATATGTATGTGTAACAATAAAAATTTTTAAAAAGAATCATATTTTTGATCATTTTTAATTTTTAAATTCGCAATTTAAGTTAAAATCATCGATTGTTAAACTACTATGGTGCCTGAAAGGAGAAAGATCTTTGTCTGATGGACTTTAGAACATGCATTCTTTTCGATTTAATCATCAGTTTTTCTTCGATTTTGGAGGTAGGATCGAATTATTTCTTCTATTTTTTTTACATTGGAATCACTGATATTTAATTTAGAATGCTCAAATTGTTCGTTACAGGCTTTTTTTAATTGATTTAACAAGTGTGTAGTTATTCAAAAGTAATTCATCTTGTCAATACAAGGGAAATAAATTTGTGATATACTTATCTTAGAATCTAAAAAATTCGATATATGATGATAGGAGTTTCGCATTTTATTTGAAAATTTATTTTAAAAAAAACTTCGAATTCCTCGAAAAAGTCAACGTTATAAACATTTTAATAAGATGGAACTTAAAACTACTGTGTCCTTGTTTGATTAGATAGGGTGTTCCGTATGTACAGACCTTAATAAAAATTTTAAAATACTGTCTAAAAGAAAATGTCTAATCATACACATTAGAAGTCACAAATTAACATTTAATCAAGCAAAATTACTATCGAAATCTAGCGAATCACAACTGAAGAAGGCAGGACTAAAAGGCTGCTGGAAAAAGCTGAAAAAAATTAATTCGAAGCACCAGAAAGATTTATCCAGCAATACAATAGGTTATAATGTTCTTAATCATGCTTTCTATAACAGTGATTTGTTACATTTTCAGTTGAAATTCAAAAGTATATTGGCTTTACTGTATAATACATTGAATACAGCAATGTGACGGTATAGTACCTTTAAATACAACGAACCATGGTTTTCAAAAATTAACAATAATTAAAAAAAATTCTTCAATAAAATTCGCAGTATCTGTACAAAGTTTTGAAATTTTTTACTCTTTGTAAATTTTCTTTTGAAAATTTAAATAGTTTTCTTCATTGTTTTTTTTATATCGTCACATAAAAATATCACTAGAATCCACAGAGCTTAACTACTAGTTTTTATTAAATTATTAATTAATTTCTGAAACGCAATGCTTCTTCAGTCTAAATTGAAAATTAAAAAATGTATTGTAATAAAAAAAACGCTTTAAAAACAATTAGATTATATTACTATTTCGATATTAAATGTTCCTACAGTATTTAGTCAAAATTATTTAAATTAAAAGGCAGAATAACTTTGTAAGATAAGAAAAAGTTCAATAACACTGGCACTGATAGATTTTTGTAATTTATTATTATATTAATTTTATCTAAAACGAAAAAACAAATTACGATTTTTTTTTAAACTTATTAAATATGACTACTTAGATTAGAAGAGTGAAACATACCATCTTCACAGTAAAAAAAAAAGCATATAAACCATTAAAGTTTAAATTTATACATTCGAATAAATTAAGTCATTATATGTCACACTAGATTTTTTGGAAAAAAAAAGTTTATTTACATTTGCACAAGTAATTTGTTGAAATCTTAAAAACAAGGAACAAATTTTGTAAATAAGACAAAACTTATTACTTAAATTAAAGAGCCTCATTTGAATTAATGCTTTTACACTTTGTTCAAAAATTAAAAGCTTTTTTTTTCATGCTATAAAAGTATTCCCCATCATGAAATATGCGTAGTTTTCAGAAAATACATGACATAATGCAATATGAAAAATAAAATGCTTAAGATTATATCAGGAGAGGTAAAAAACATGCACTTACGATAGGAATGCATCTAATTACGATAGGAATATATTATTTATTTCATTTTCATTCCATTTTCGATGAAATAAATTATTTCATCACAAAGTAACATTTAAAACTGTGGTTTTTAAGATAAATGAGGAGGAAACATATTTTCAAGTTAACTAAAAAAAAATAATAAAGCTTTAAAAATGATCAATTGTACTAGTTTATTTTATTCCTAATTCTCATGTCAAACTCATCTGTTATCGCATCGTTCGTAAAATGAAAACAAATGCGGTGAAAGTGCCAAATTTCTATACTATAATTATTTTTCTGGATGATTCAGAACTAATGTTCAAAAATTTACACGTAGGTTGGAAACATCATAACAAGCAAGAATCGTGAACGCCATGCAAACGAGTTACATGCCAACAAACCATTCATTCGAAATTCCTTCTCGAACATTATCAGTCGTGCCGTCATCACATCGTTGCGAAGTGTGTCTTCAAGTACGTTTGTTTGCGACAATATATCCCAGTATGATTCTCACTTGATATCAAGTACCTGATAAACATGCAGATTTTTAAACAATAGTTTCGTGTATATTATTTGGATATTATAACACAATACCCAAAGCATGGCAGTTATTTAATTTTACTTAAAAGAACCCATTGTATGGCCGTCTCGTCTGCATTGTGCTTGCGACCGTTAGGATTGTTGGTTGTAATCATGCCCCGGATGCTGATTTACAATCCAGTGGCTTTCAACCACTCGTACAATTTTTTTTTTGTGGGGAGATTTTTGCAGTTGTCGCAATTATAATGAAAGCTTTTATTTCTTTTAAAATTTGTTACCCCAACTAAAAAGTCAAGAATCAAGTTTTTTTTAACTTTATTTTCAAAAAAAAATGCTAAACCGGATAGTGGGTTGTTAAATGCCGCTGAATTGGAAAATCGCGCCTCGCACCTTACATATAAAAATTTTGAAAAATAGTTCTGAATGACCCTGTGTATTACTTGTATATTACGCTATTTATTGTATGTTATTTGTATATTATTTGAGTATTTTTAACACAATACCCATAACATGTCAATTGTTTCGTTTTACGAAAAAGAACACATAAATATGTTCGTTCAGTACATTAATTTAACTATATTGTATTTATTATGATAGTAAATTGTAATTTTTCACAGTATTTTGTTTAAACTAATATTGTAACGTGCAAAAGTAATGAAGTTTCTATTAGATTTGTCAGAAGTATTTTCGTTTCTTCTAGTTTTTTTTTTTTTCTTCGAGTGCCTAACAATAAATTTTGTAACATCTTTGGCAGCTTAAGTAGCAGAAAAATATAAAACTTTTTATCTTTATAACCATCATATTATGGATCATTGGCTTAAGCATCATCATCATTTCATTTGTTGAAACATGTAAATAATAATGTATCATCATTACATCTTTTCATTTAAATTTATCTGTCATCTGATGATGTTGTCATAATTGAGAAATACATACCTGGAAAAAAAAATTATTTAGTTACTATTATTCTATGCAAAAGAAACAAGATCAGGAATTAAATGTTTTCCCTAAAAATTAATCCGTAATTATACGCTGTTAGGATTTTCATTCTAAAATTATTGTAAAATTACCGACAGCAGTCAGTCCATCCAATTAATCATAAGTTTACGATAAGAAACATTTTTTACCTTTATGGTTTTGAAACCGCTTACAATTAATTAGTACGGTTAAAAAACCATGAATACAAAACTACACGTTTTTTTTAACCATTTACAACTAGCATGGTTCCAAAACTGTAGAAAGGATATTTAACTGGACAAAGGAGTTAGACTTTTCGTTGGGTAATGGACATTGGAGAATGCAGGTCAGTGGAAACTCATGTGTTGAAGATAATGGAGGAAATATTGTAGTGTCAACACTGGGATTCGAACCCCGGTTCTGTCTGTCATCAGTCTAGCAGATTTGCCAGCAGGGCTATAATATGCACGCAAATGCAAGGATCTAAGTGGCTTCATCAGGTGAGCTTAGTTGGTGCCATAAAATTCTGGTTGTTTAACCGTATTAGACGAAAGTAGTTAATGAGCGATTTTTCTCACAGTTAACAGTTTGATTACCATCTTATTTATGGTTATTTGACTGCTTTGTTCGAATACAGTAAAATAACAATTAAATAAATTGTTATTTAACTATTTTGTAAGAGAAATTTCTAACAGTGTAGTTACCATTCAAATTTGGCTCGCGGAAATTACCAACGCATTTTTGGAAAATTTATTTGATTTATTTAAGCTGATTGTAAACCTTTTTAACCACTTTAAGCCTTGAAAAGCTTTTTGTAATTCTATTTTATCCACAACCCTCAGCCTCAACCGTTTTTTATCTTTTGATTTACCTATCATATTTACGAAACACAATTTTTTTGTAAGATTTGGATCATGAATATTTATTATTAATATTTAAAAGGGAAAAAAAAGCTAAATTCAAATTACATTATGCTCCAGATCAATCTGATTATTGTGATTTTTGGTCAATGCTCCAATAGGTTAGAGTTTCCGAATTTGATGACCAAAAACTGATTATTTCAGATTTCAAATTGGTTTACAAGCTTATTTTTGAAGGCTCTATGAAATAACCTTAATTTTTTTTCTATTTTTAGCTAGCGCCCCATATTTTAATCATGAAAATGGTGCAAAAGACCAGTATAAGGAAAAGCCATAGATTTTTTTTTAAAAATAAATCGCGTTTGTAATGTAATTTTTAGCGTTTGAAAAGTTACTCCTCTACTACATTGTTTGCACTTATAAATAATACAAAAATTGTGTATAAATCATCGATATCGCATCATTGTGGGAAATCTCACCAAATTGTCATCTTTTCAAAAAAGTTTTAAAACTGACAAGTGCTTTAAATATTTAAAAAATTGTTTAAGTCCAGACAGTTTTTTTCTCCAAAATAATATATTTAGTTTAAAATTAAAGCTTTGCATTAAGTTTAAGGCACTTAACCTGTTGTTGCATTTTCAATTTTCCTTGAAGAATGCTTCGAAAATAATTCTAATATAATATACTTATATATATATTACGAAAACAATTATAAAAAAGAAGATTGTGTAATATCAGGTAGACTAGGTTGAATTTCATTACACCTTTTGCATAGAATAATATAGCAACTAGAGAATTACTGATATATTTTAAGACAAATCCTATATTTTCTCAGGATTCCTCGGTTGTGTTACATATTTATTACATTTATTTTATAATTTTTCTGTGTCAAAGAAGCCTCGGCCATAGAACTATACATGCAAATCATCTCTACTAAACAAAGTGGCGCCAAGTGAAATTGTACTTTCTAATAGACATCGAAAAGATACCGTTATTGGACGGGCAATTTCAAGTACTTTTTGTACTGGCCCATGGCGCATCAAAGTATTTATACGTTAACTGGCATGCTCTCTCTCCCGCTAAAGCTACATGGAGCAAACACTATTTGAAGTCATACATAGAACTGGACTACAAATACCCATGGCATGATATGGCATATATGTATGTTTAACAAGGTTCAAGACTTGTTTAATAAGTGCTGTTTTGTTCAATTTTCTGAAAGCATGTAATTAAAGAGAATTTTATTGTCTTTGTTGTTTATATTCACGAATCCTAATTATTCCTTTAAAATGAAAAAGAATCCTACCCTCCATGTTATCCTAAGGTGAATTAAACATACCCGATTCCTTGTTTTTTATTAATCCTAGAATAATTATAAAATGGCGCCAAAATTACGTGTGACGTAAGTTAAGATTTTACAGTAACTTATCAATGTTTTTAAATATTTTGTGATTTATTTTTACATTGATATGTGCCCTAATGAAGTTAATTGATTACTAAATCTTAAATTTTATGGGTGTGAGTAGTTTTAGAAATTTTCTAACGTTCTAAGTTTCTCTAACTGAAGAATTCTAAAAATGCTTAAAAACTTAAATTTGAAATTTGGTAACTAGTTTCAATGGTACACATTTCGATGAATAAAAAGAATAAAATAATATTCGAACATATTAATTATTTTACTAATAAATAAAGAAATTGGATTCATTCGATTTTCTATGTGATAACATTTAAACATGTTCAATTCTGAACATGATAACATTTAAGCTGGGCCAATTCTGAAAAAAGAAGCACTAGGGTATATGACCATTAATTATCTCATACAATAACAATTTAGGAATGTTTCATGAACTTATAACAATAAAAACGAGCTCTTAATTGTATATAGTGTTGCATTTTTACTAACCCTAAATTGTCTTCTATCTGTTTCCTTCTTTTTGCCAACACTATATAATTAATTTTCTTTTTAACTTAAATCCTGTGTAAATTTTGGGACACCCGTTATAATACAAAACTCTAAGACGAATGAAACTTAATTGCTATATTAAGATTGAAACGAAATGAACTTTCAGATATTTATTTTTTCTTTCGCCTAATTTTTGTAAATTTACTTAATATTCGAATTTGCACATCTTACCTGGTTTTCAAAATTTATATTTTGTTAATGAAGCCCGTAAATTTTCAATTGTGTTTCTTTTTTCTTTGTAAGTTACGTTTTGCAAACCAAAATATATATGGATCCAGAAGCACTCACAACAAGTTGTGTAAAATATCTTTGTTCAGACTATTTCTTGGATGAAAAATATTTTTAAAATTTTCATGGACGCAAACATTTATTTCATTTTAATGTTGCACTGTAACGCAGATTTCTATAAACATCTTGTACATCAAAATGAATTGGGCAGGAAAATATTTCAAACACTTTATCATACTTTGCAAACTCTGAAGGATCAGTCTGCGTAGGGACCGAGGGTGTGCGGTATTGGTTCTCGCTAAACTGTGCTACCGTAAAGTGCTCGCGTGCAGGTCGTTGGGCTCAGGAATGTTTCCCAGACTGCCGCCAATAGCCCATTGTGCAGCTCTAGTGTGACGTAAATAAATTACAGCAGCAAACTCTGAAAAACTGTTATCTTTTGTGGCTTACGTGTTCTTTTTCTCCCCAACTTTGAACAGCAAACCAAATTTTGGTTTGCGACTATTAATATTCTATCCTTAGCTTTCAAAAATTTGTACTCAGCCCAGAAGACAGGGGAACTTCTGAATCAGAAATTGAGACAAATTAACCTTTGTGGAGGAGTTTTCTTTATTGAACCAACCAGCATTTGCGATGGAGAAGAAAACCACGAAAACCTGCCATGGTTAGCCCAACAGCAAGGGCGTTCTAACCCATGATTCGCCTACCATTGATTATATTTTACGTCATCACCGTGGCTGGTGTGAGCCGGAGCAAGCCACTAGAATTCGAACCAGAGTCACCTCATTGGCGGGCGTGCTCTCTATCCTGAGCCACTTCAGTTCGGCTTCGTGTTTGAGCAATGACACGGTGGTTTAGCTTTACTCTTTTTTGCTCGAAGGCAAAAACTTGACACCAAAAAACAAAAAAATTTATACTGCCCGACTAACCCGTTGTGCCCCACGTGTCCAAACGTATTGTCTTAATTGTTGGTTGTATGATATTAAATCTCGAGATGCTTGAAATCCTACTAATTAAAAAAGACGAATCAATTGATCACCCATGACGGTTAGTAGTGGTGTGTAACTATGCTATTGGCGGAAAAAAAGTAATTTGATTGTGAAATCGTTACTCATTAGTGATTAGAATAAAACAATAAAAATCCATTCAGAGATATACTATAAACTATCAAAAATCACTTACATTCATAACAGAGAATATTTTAACTTAACTTTTTTGAATTTCAGAATGGTAAAGTATGGAAAAAAATAAACGAAACACCTTGAATAACTTTCGATCGGATTTGCACGTACTAGGACTTCACGTACTTTAATGGTTCTTAATGGTTTGAAAGGATGACGTCAATTATGCTAATTAGTCACTGCAGACAATATTTTAAATTATGAAACGTATATTTAAGTCTATATTTTAAGTCAGAAACACAAACGTATTTTTCTGATTAAGCTTACTTTTTTTGTGACGGATTATGATTTCTGACATTCAAAAAAAAATTACTTATGTAAAATTGGATTTCTCGGGAACTTTCCGACAAGTTTCATTCAAACTTAGCACTTTGCCATAGAAAATTACATTCTTTAAAATTATGTAAAATTTCATGTAGCTTGGTATGAAAATGTTTTTCGATAAATCAATAATAAATAATTATTAAAAATTATTTTTTTTCACGGAATAATCTTTGGATAAACGAATTTCATAATTTCTTGCAAAAATTTTTANGGGGGGGGGGCACTGGACGGAATGAGAAAAATCCTTCATTTGGTTTTTGAGATATTAAAAAAAAAATTACACTTCACTAAGCAATAGGCAACAAACCGTGTTTAAATCAGACTTACCAAGTTAAAAGATTGCGCGTTATAAGATTATCTTACCGAGTTGTGAGATAAAGATTTGTAAAGATCCATACGTCAATATGTTGTTCTCGCAGACAAAGTTGCTTTTTTGAATAGAATTTTTCAATGTTCTAACAATTTGAAAAAGTTCATTAAGCACCAGTTTTGATTTTATTGTTATTAAAAAAAATTTTAGCTGCACTTTGATGTGTCAGGTTTAATTCTAAATGCATTTGATTAACTCAATATCTTAATTTAATCTTTTTTAATAATTGATTAAGCATAATTAAAGCATGCTTTTTGAAAAAATATTTAGCGACAAAATAAAAATTTGATGCCTAGTTACGTTATATTTTTATACGGTTACCATTACCACTTAAATTTATTTAAATGCCGATTAACAAGGTATTAGGGTAAAAATTTGATTGAAAAAAATTAAAATTTGTTTGTAAGGGGCTTTTTAATTACCAACAATTAAAACCATGCTTTTAGCTATAACTTTGAAGCTAACTAATATTTTTTTCAAACCTTTGTTCACTGACTTCTACTAATTCTACCAGCATTTTGTTAAAATTTGAAAATGATTTAATAAAAAGTGTACTTTTTTGCGTCCTGTGTCCCCTTAAAGTAAAGATAACATTAATGGGTCCCAAACTTTTGATTACTCTCTTGACCAAATCAAGGAGGTCGCGTTTCCCAGATTGTGGCTATCACCTATATTTTGGGGATTAGATACCCAAATCCGTTAAAAAAAATGTATATTTAATTAGAGAAAGTACGTTTTGTGTGATTTCATAATTTAAAGTATCATATGCACTAATTAATTTGATTGTTTGAAGATACCCCTTCAGACAATTAATAAGATTGAGTCCTAGTGCGTGAAAATCTATTCTTCAGATCAAACGTTTTTCAGGAAGTTACTTTATTTTTTTACGCACTACAATGAATTCAGTATAAAAGTCAGCTGCTAAATAAGATGATAGGTTTAAAAATCGCGATTTTTGTATAATTTAATTTGTAACTTTCATCAATTATGTAATTGGTAAATGTAATTCTGTAATATTGTTTGTAATTGTTAATTTTACTTTAGTTTGTTTTGTATGCACTAACCTTTCCCTTTCAGAAGCCCCGACAGGAGTCTTAATAGGTCTGTAGGGTTGTAGGATTGGGCACTAGGTGCGCAGGACTGCAAACGCGTCTTCTGGGTGACGGCTGCGTGTTTTCCGCGTCCAACGGGCCTGCGTCTTGACGACCTCCGGAAGTGCAGGGGATGTTGAATGACGCAGTGGCCGCGAAATTCGGCTGGCTACCTGCGGTGACCAAACTAGTAAACAGAGCCGCTCTAATGTGTATATCACGAATTGTGTGCCTTTTCTAAAAATTTCAAGCAAAGTTATTATTTTAGCCAGTAAAAGAAATTTAAAGTTAATCGAACCTATTAACCCGGAGGTCAGGGGTTCAATCCCTTGCTTTGACACGGGAACATTTATTTCACACTATCTCTTAAAGCATATTTAAGCTCATAATTCCAGTATTAAGCACTTATGTTGTATTTATTTTCTTATTTTTAATGCGAATGTATTTAAATTGATAATTTTAAAAAATTTAATTTAAGTTTTTATAAAAATTATAAAATATCTTTCAATTAAGCATTTTTAAACCTATATTATTTAGAACTTTGATGTCTTTTAATTTTGTATAAACAACTGCTGTTTTTTTTTTTAATTTGATAAAATGAAAAATAATTGAACGAAATAGTTTTAATAAAATTCAATAATGACGTTTTCTAGTAAAATATCCCAATGGTAACTTTTTGTGGCTAGACATTTCATTCATCTTGCCTTTATTTTATTTCTTAATATTTTAATCTAAGAAATGGAGTTTTCATTAAGCATTCTGTTAGTTTAAGTTTTTTTCTTGTAATTCGTTTCAATATTTTACTTAAATTAAAATATAATCTATCACAGTTTAATGCGAACTCTAATTTAACGATGGAATTGAAATTAAAATATTTAAAACATGGATGCAAAGATGATTTATTTTTAAATATATTTTTGTTTTTTAAGAAATTCAAATATAAACTTTTATTTCATATTTTGTAAAATAATAATAATAAAAATACATTTCATATTATATTGTTTATTATGCTCATTTTTACAATAAAAACTCTTTAAAAACCGGAGACCTCTTTTATTGTTCTGCTAAATTTCTACAAGATGGCGCAATTCTTGTGAACAGTCTTCAAATTTCAGTAGTCGGCATCAAAAANATGAAATACGGCAGATTTGAGCTCAGAAATTATCTAGTTTATTTCTTTTATTGAAAACAAAATTATCCGTTTGAAAACATCGCCTATCAGAATAACATGTAGTAAGCAGCTGCGAACTTTTTAACCGGAACTAGAGTAGGTCCCGAGCTCGAGATTGTTATTGTTTACATTTCTATTGAAAACACCATCCATTCGTGATCGCAACGTTCAAATGCTCTATCTGGGGAGTATTAACCCTCCCTCCACCCCTCTCCTCCTCTTCTCAGTTGTAAATGAATGTTAACTGTGATATTTTACCCTTTCTTAATTTTTTAATATTTAATTGTGAAAAATATTTTTTTTTAAATTTCCATAATGCTTTTTTTTAGAACTATGTTCAATGTAGTTTTCAGTTCCACATAGTTTCCTTCCTTAAACGTTTTTAATCTATTTGAAAATCAAGACAGAATTTAACGTTCTTCCTCCTAATGGTGTAACTGCGAAGTGCTGCCAGAGGTAGAGTGTTCTGCTCATGGATCCTGGTTCTGCTCTACGCCACCTACAGCCCATTTCGATCGCCAATCTTTCTCGTACCGTGAACTTTCACTAACCGAAAAAAAGTATAATTGCAAATATTTCGACAACTCTTTTAAATATTTACTATAAATTATTTTATTTTCTGTTTGAAGATTTAACATAGAATAACTTCTTTTCACCATAAAGGTTTACAACTTCTAGTGTTTAAAAAAATGTCTGATCTCTTTATTATTATTATTACTATTATTATTCTGCTCCATTCCTCTCTTTCTTTTCAAAAAAATGCTAACTTAATGATTAGTGAGTTGCATAAAAAGTAATAATCTTTAAAGTGAAAACAAGAAACTTTTAGATTTCTAAACTATCACTAGATGGCAGCAACAGTTGACTCGGCTCTTTTCTTTCAAACTAACATTCATCTTCAAACCCCAACTATAGTTAACTACATACTATAGTTATAACTCCCAACTACAGTTATAATTCCCTGTAAACACCTTAATTAAAAATACGTAGCATCATAAATATGCAATTCACTCATCATTTTAATTGTTTTACTTTTTTGTGAGAAAGATTAAAAAAATAGAATATTAAAAAAAAAAAGTTTCAATATTTTTTACAAATTAGAAAGATTAAAATAAATCCGTTTTGATAAACAGAAGTTACTCTCTGTTAAATCTTCAAACATAAGAAAAGGTACCTAGGGTAACTACTTAAAACCTTTGTCGGAATATTTATAACTACATATTTTCCAGAAGTTATTATAATTGCACGCCAAAAATCCTTTTTTTATTTAAATTTAAATTTGCTTTTTATAAAAAAAATAGATTTATGCTTAGCAAAAAAAGTTTTACTTACTCTTCTACTTTTGATTATAAGCCTGCATTATTCGAAAAACATAAAGTATAAGATATGAAATAAAATTTTGATTTTACAAAAATTTAAAAAAGCAAAAATAGTTAACAACTAATTATTTTTGCATCATTTTTTTAAATACCTCAATCTCCGTTTTATCGTCCCATTAAAAATCACATTTAAAGCGAGTTTTACATTATTAAGAGATTCCATGGTCAAAAAATATATAAAATAAAAACATGATAGTTAGAGTATGAAATCGCAATATATTACCATTAGGGAGTTCTATTTGAATAAATCATTTTTAAATTTTATAAATCAATTTTTATTGATTTTTTTCTGATTTTTTAAAATTTATAAAATAAAGAATAACTTATGAAAATGCAAAAATACATCATAAGTACTAAATATAGATTAAAAAGTGCTTCATTTAAAAATATTTCGCTTATCTTCAATTTAAATTAAAAGTACTTTTTCAAATAAATAGCTAAATACAAATTGCAATAAAAAAATTTAAATAAATAAATATAAAATAAGTGTTTAATGCATGAATTATAAGTTTGAAGTATGATTTAAAAGAGCGTACGAAATAAATGTTCCCGTCTCACCACTGAGGGGTCCCACAGTGGACTGATCGTTAAGACACGGTTCCCAGCAGATCACCGAAGTCAAGCATCACTGGATGCGGTTAGTCAGTGGGTGGGTGACCACTTATATCACTCTGCGTAGGAACCGAGGGTGTGCGGTATTGGTCCTCGTTAAACTGTGCTACGGTAAAGTGCTTGACTTCGCTCTCAGATCGTCGGACTACCGAAGCAGGGGTGCCATCCCCTCCGCAGAGGATCAAAATTGCGTTGGCATGTCTTCCGATCATCCTCCAGGATATTTCACAGACAGTCGCCAATAGCCCATGGTGCTGCTCTAGTGCGACGTAAATGAACTAGAACTGCAACAACTGACCACTGAGGGTCGAACAACTGACATCCAGATCAGGAGGTTCGATTTTAATTAGCTTTGAATTCCTTGTACTATCTGAAAAAAATACTTTATATGGTATTTTTAGAAAAGGCATACTACTCGTAACTTACGCATTTAAATATTCACCTCAAATATTATTTACTTAATTTTTAAATGAAGATATTAGGCAGTACAAGTCTAATTGCTACGTTAAGAATATGAAAATTCCGCGAAAACTCAGCCTGCTCCTACCATTAGCGCCACCACTGGAGGAGTGTAGCAATGGCGCATCACGTTTTGGAACTATTTTGGCGTGAGTAGTTTGCTGCTCTCAACCAGTCTATTTTATTTCATCAATCAAACAATTTTTTTGATATATTGATATTTAACCCGACTGTGTTTACCTTTTGTTTTGAAGGTATAAAAAAAAAACTTTAAATACTGTGTTTTGCCCAAATTGTTTTAATTAATTGAACTATGAATTATTTGAAATTGCACTCCGTTCCTGCTTCTAAAATTTTTATCAGAAATACCTTGAAAATATATATATCTGAACCTTTTCAACAAGAATTTCATTCTTCAACATCAAAATTCGACGAATCCACATCCAAAGAAAAAGCTCCCGAAGACATTCGTGTTCTGGATGTGTTGGATGATTTGAAAGAACCAGAATTAACTGAAGAAGAGATACTGCAGAAACGTTTTAAATCTCGCCTCCCTGAAAGAATACATAAAATGTTCATTCAGAAACAATCTCTTCCCTTAGAAAACAAATCTGATTTTCAGATGTATCGACTACGTTCGCAATGGGCCAAATTTGGTAGCCAAACTAATATAAATCCCGGCATATGCTGGCCAACAAGAAAGCAAATAATGGAGACCATTGACTACGACAAAACTTTTGAACCATCCCTTCAAGAACGTTTGCGAAGAGTGAATGAAGAACGTATGGCAAAAGAGAAAGAAAAGCAGGAATATGAAGCGGAAGTTGATCAAAACATGGCCAATTTAGACAAATGGATTGCAGAATATCATGGCAGAATTGCTAAACAAGAAGAGAAGGTACGTCAGTTGAGGGATAAGAGGGAAAAACTTGTTGAAGAAATAAGTGAGTATCTAGGATACGAAATTGATCCTAAAGATCCAAGATTTAAAGAAGCTGTTGAACAAAGAGATAAAGCGAAGAAGAAAGAGATGAAAGCACAGAAACAAAAAGAAAGCTATGATAAAATGCTTGAGAAATTAAAAAAGATTGCTCAGCAAAAAACATGAATGTTATGAAATTATTTAATGTAACACATGCTTGTTCGAAATGTTGAAAAAAAACTTTTCCCGATTTTACTACGATTAAATCATTGTTTCATGCTAGATTCATTTTTTTAATTTCAAATATTAACGACTAATGTCAATAAATTTACAAGATGGGTGGAATCTAGAGATTGTGTCTCCAATTCCAGGAAATGAGTAATATTAGTTTTGAATTATGATTTTAAATAAGGTGACATTCCCATATATCTATCCCTGTTCGTGTATATGAAGTTGACCTGTGCAACTGCTTAGTTTTTGTATTAGCATTAAAGTAAATATATATATATACATAATGAAACGTTACAAATTTTACACTTCAAATTTTAATTACATTTTGAGATTACCTAAATGTTGCCTTAAAATAATTTTAATTTTCCATTTTGTGATAAGAATGTGTGTGATTATGCCATATTAAATTCAATTTGAGTATAAAAGATGTTTAATACAAAATGTATATATTAATAACTGAATAAGTTTTTAATATTAAGGCAAAAGTCCTGCATCTTGGCTTTAATCTAAAGATTATAATAATTCTCCCTGTGTTAGAATCGTGGCGACATTGTCGTAGAACGTTACAAAGTTCTTTCAGAAAGAAAAAAATTAGGTTTTCTTTTCTGCTTAAATTTACACGTAAAATTTGAATTTCTCATTTAAATAATCCCATTTTCTCACGTTCAATTTACGCCCGTGGTATCGTATATCCATATAGTGTTTCCATTGTATTTTCTGCAGTTATTGAATTTCATGCGGTTTTTAATTATTCCGACATATTTCAGGCGATATAGGAAATTCGAATCGAGTATTTACTTTTTAAGGCAACAATTCTGTCTTTTTTTTGGGGGGGGGGCAATTATTGCTTTAGTTTTTGCTATTATTGCTACAGTTTTTAAAATCCAACATTTATTACAGATGTCAAATCTTGAAATGAAACACGCATTTGAGTAACCCTTTTAAGAGTCAGATTTACATGATTTTGTCATTCGTCTGTTTTCCGGTAACTAATGCTATGGGTTTCATTATTTTTAATTTTTTTTTAATGTAATGATGATTTACAAAATGCGATATGTAATGATTAGTGTGTTTTTATCCCAAACAAATGCCAGAATATCTCCTATAATATGAGAATAAAAAAATATTAGGAGAATAAAAATAATCATGTTTCTTTTTTTTGTAAATACAGTGTTTCTGTTACTTTAAATCAGTAACATGCATCTTTGTTATTATTGAAAGTACCTTGCCGAAAGATATTAGTGCTAGAGTTTTGTTGCAGAAAGCCCGAAAAAATTCTGCCAAAAAGGCAGTTCTATGTGGAATATCTTTCCGATAACTCCTTAATGTATGTGCTCTTAAGTTAATTCATCTATACTAAACAGGACGAACTGTGCGCACTCGATAATTCGAGAAGAGCTGTATTTTATGCTTTGGTAATTTTTACATTCAAATTTAATCAATAATCAAAATTAACAATATGGAAGCTAATAAAAAAATCATTATATATTGATATTTATCGTATACATAGGATTTATAGAAATTGTAACATTGCAAAGGCAAGTTGCAACTGTTTTGAAGGCCAAAGGGAATGAATGCGTTATTGAGTAGATGGTCATGTTTTGGCTTTTCAATGTATAATACATAGTTTCTAAACACACCTCTGTCTACATGGAAATATTTTTATTTAGTGTTTTATTAAATATAAATTGATTTAAAGTAATATAACATGCGATTCTCGCAGACAATATCTGTCATGCACCTACCATATGTTAACCATCTCTGATGTAGGCTGTTTTATATAACTGAAATTATGCTTATTAATATGTTAACTAATTAATTAAAACATTATACACACATCATATGACTCCCAAATGCAACAATTTTACCTTTTAGTGGGGAGTTAGATAAAAACCAAAAAAATCTGAAAATAGAAATCCGAAAATGTCACATGCAAAGCATATTTTAAATGACAAAAAATACCTAAAATTTGTTCAAGAGAAAAGTGTATGCTGGAAGCATATATCCATAGAATATTATCAACCTTTTAAGAAAAATATCTATGTGAGATATTTTTCTTTTAAATTGTTTGAATACGAATCTGGATGTATGATTTTTTAAGTAAGATGAATAAGAGTCCCAATGTGAAATTTTTGTGAATTACGACGTGTAGTTGTAAATAGCATGAATATAGATCACAATTTTAAATAATGTGAGTAAAGATCACAATGTTTGATTTAAAATTGTGTGAATACGAATCCCGATGTTAGACTTTAAGTTTTGTGAATGTAATTTCGAATCGCCTTTGCGTATGGTTTATCCTCGTGCGAAAAAAAAAAAAAAAAANTTTGGGGAAATTCAGAAAAAACAAACTTGAAAGGGACATAATTTTATTTTTATTAAATTGAAAAGTAGATATAACTCATTCCTGTCAATCGTAACAATCAATACATAAAAGCCCTGCAGCTATTCCATGCATAGAATTTTATTTTAATGCTCAATATATTGAGAGAATTTTCTATTGTTGCGTCCAAGCTTAATTTCTGATATTTCTACCCTTCTGAAATGGAAAAAAAAAATTTAATAATGAGCAATATAAAATTACTCATTTTTAACAATCAGTCATTTTATATTGCTTTTGTTCAAAGAAATTTTTTAGGCCACTATTTAGTTTGATGTTACGAACTCAATGAACTCGAAAAATCTTATTTACTCTTTAAATAAAGGTAATGTGGCCTACTTTTACAGTTGAACTTCATTTTCCCTCATGTATCTTCTTGTTTTACCAGTCCCTTTAAGAATGCTGTCCTGATAATGGTAATAGTGTTCCAACCTTGTTTAGATTCTTTCTGAAACTAAAAGATTCTTGCCTCTATTGTACAGAAATTTTACGGACATTAGAAAAAATGAAGTTATTTCATTTTGATAACTTCTGATACTGATAATGAAGAAATAGAGGTTTTTTCACAGTTTAGAGAAAACACCTCAAATATCACTATTTATTATATGTTTATGAAAATGTTATTATGTATGGTATGACATTGGTTGAAAAAAAAAATAGTTGCAAAGGTAAACAAGTGCTAAGTGATACCGGTGAAACTCTACGGCAACCAGTGCCGAAATTTGTAGAAGTCTTCAAAGCCTTTCAAAAAAAAATTTCTCTATTCTCACTAATTTACAGAAAAAGAATAGTTACAAATGATGAAAAATTATTGTATGGGTTTTAACGAAAGGAGTGTTTTCAAACTAAAATTTTTATGCATTTTGCTTAAATAAATGTGTTTATTACTATTTCATTTGCATTGTAAATGTTGCAGGAAATAGATATTTTTTTCATTGAAACTTTCTTATACTCAATGTAAATTTATTAATTTTGAAGTTTAATACCTCCTTATTAAACTGCTGTTTGTAGAAAATGCAACACCATGAAGGAATCATCAGAATCAAATGAAATATTATTTTAATAATGGATNACGTTGACCCGTATTCATCATATTCCCTTATCAATCGTACGCAACAAACGGTCCCTTAAAAAACTATTCATCGAAATTCTACTATATATCAATTGCAAGGTATACAGGGTTGGGTTTTTGACACGATACAAAGAAATCTGAAAAAAACCTCAGACAAGTTCCTTTTTTGTCATTGGGATCATTTTATAAGATATTAATCAGGATCAGGCACAATACTTACATGAAATATTACTACTGAAATTATGATTTGTATTTATGGCGCAACTCGGATAGTCAGAGACAGAATCCTGACTGTCCTAGTGTGCATCAAAAAGAGCTTCTTATGTTAAAAAAGAACAGTTTGAAGAAGATCATTGGTCTTCTCACTGGACACAGCACCCTCAGGAGACACCTATGCATAATGGGTGTTGTATCTTGAGGAGACTTCACGACATATACTTAGTGATTGAGAGGTCTATTCTGCTCAAAGATTTGAGCATTTAGGGTAACATTGTATTAAGGCATGGGAATTACAAGATATTCCTGTCAGGTGTTTGCTGAACTTTATTTCAGCTATAAAGCTTTGTTGTTAATCATGATTTAGGATTTGGGTAGAACAGATCTCTGGTAGATGTGCCCTGTTCTTTGGAACTGCCCAACCTCTAAGTCTAGGTTTATGATTTGTATTATGTATCATACATAAAATATATAGCCAAAATTATTGTAACTATTAATTGGTTTTTCTAAAAATATGGTACTTGTAATACTTCAAGATTAATATTTTTTTTTCAATGCCCACCTGTGTTAACATCCGTCAATTCAGGCATATATAGGGCGATTTTGTGGGTCTTTCAGGAGCACGATATTAGGTGGGCCAACGTTGCTCCCACAGTGAGGACAGAGAAGGAAAGAACATCCATGCCTTGCCCGGGATTTGAACCCAGAATCAAGATCAATATTATTTGCTATAATTTAGCAATTCAGTTTATATTGTAGATGACTATGAGTTGTTTATTGTCAATCTAAATATTGATTTTAATTCTTTAATTGATCAATTTAGGTAGAGTTTTTAGATTAAGTAAAACTAAAGTGGTTAACAATAATTGTCTAATCTCAATTTTTTTTTTTTTTTAATTAATATTTGTTATTGCTTATATTCAGGGAAGCAGGATATGTTTGACCGCACGAACAAGGCTTTGGAGGAAATTCAGGCAGCATGGGTAAATTTTTGATCTTAAACACTTCCTACAAAATTTTTTGTCAAAAAATGTGTCCCTTTGCAAAACTTTTTCTTGTTAAAAAAACGTATGTCAATTTGTGTATTTATTAGTTGCAATTCCTTCAGTTAATGATCCAGGAGTTTCTTTGTCTTCTGGATTGATTTAAAGTTACAAGACTACAGAGTTGAACATTAGTAGTCGTAAACCCAAAATTAGGTCGGCTGTTCAGTGACGGTTATAAAAAATAACATATCCTCTTTACCTATTTTTTTGGAAGTAAATTACTTTTAAATGTAATAAGCGAGTGATAAAATCTGTGGCGTAAGTCATGTGTAGGCTGTAAGGTGCTTAAACTCGGCTGATGTTAAAATTATTGGATATAAATCAATATGACTTGGTT